AATCCTGATGTATAAGCAATTAATTATTTGATGATTAGTAATTGCATAAACAAAATATGAATCACCACTGCTTCTCAAACATCAGTGAAATGGATATTTTACCAATAAATACATAGTGAACTGCATTGTCATAGTGGATCTCACATACCTCAGTTGCAAACAAATAAGAGAGACGACCAGCCAAATCATCCCAAGCTTCCTGTACGGTGGGATTGTACTCTATTTGATTGATACACAGCTACAAGATAATTGAATTAATTAAGATGGTCGTTTTTGAATAGTCATCCACAGAATCTAGCAAATACAAAAAGTGCCAAACCTTTTCTAAAGCCTTTTCCGCGGCCGACTGTTCTGCATCCTTTTTCTTTTTAAATGTATCAGAGATAACAACAAGTTCTGGAAGTTGCAGGGTACATCGATAAAGGCAGGGACCTTTCTGGGGAATTGCTAACCCTGGACATCCAATTTTAGTTTCCTCTTGCACTTCCTCAACCTTATAGCAGGCCTTATCACCAAACTTTTGGTGTATAATTGCTTTGGGAGTAAGCGATGGCTTCTTTGCTGGCACGGCTGGGACTATTCCAGTTTCCATTAATCCTCCTACAGATAATAACTGTATAATTTAAGAAGGTAAAATCTTCCCTACACCAAAAAAAAATAATAATAAATAAATAAAATCCGTGCCAAATAGCCCAAAATGTAAAAAGAAATTTTAAATTGACATTTCTTTTTTTTTCTGTCAATTTAAGTGAATTTTATGGTCCTTAATTTGGTGTTAATATACAGGGAATACCATGGACTAGACAAATTAAAAGGATCATTGTAAGAGCAAGATATTCATATTCCTGAATCTTTAATAATTAATACTCACAAGCAACTACTTGTTATAATGAATCGAGTCCTTTTCAACATGAACAAAATTCAAAGTTTTACCTTATCCAAAATTTGTGCTTGACGAAAAAAATTTATAGCGTATGGTCAACATAATAAGAAAATTGATGAAAGTTATATAGCCCTTGCTTGGCCCCCATTATTTTGCATTTTTGGGGGTTGAAAATTTTTAGAACAGTGATTGATGTGAGAATATGTGGTTGAAATTTTTTTGATTTGTATGTAATATTATTTTATTTGATGAATGCGTGGTTGAAATGAAGAGAGAAAAAAATTTAATGTAATGTAATGTAATTTAATGGAGGCCAAACAAGGGCATAGTATGACATACCTCGAAACCAAAAAAATAATTAATAAATAAAATAGTTAAGTATGCCTGTAAACAAATCGGATCTGAAAATTTCAACATTAGTTGCTTTCAGAGCTTACAGATTTAGGAAATCCATACTTAACTTTGACCTTGAACTATTATGAAGTCACATAACGTTATTTCACAAGAAAATATTCAGCAATCCAGACATGTTATATATTTCTTCTCCTAGAATAACAACTTTTAAGTTTTTATGTATGCCAATCTTAATTGAAGGTCAAAATATCAATTTGACACATTAAATGCATTGAGTGAAAAGATATTTAAAAATTAAAGTGAAGAGAATGAGAGAGAGAGACTTTTATATTTTTCTTCTATAAATGACTCATTGTAAGCACTGTTTGAAAATATTTTTGAAAATTTGAAAATAAAAGATGAGAGAGATGTTATATATTTCTTCTCCTAGAGTAACAACTTAAAATTTTTTATGTATGCCAATCTTAATTGAAGGTAGAAATCTCAATTTGACACATTAAATGTATTGAGTGAAAAGATATTTGAAAATTAAAGTGAAGAGAGTTAGAGAGACATTTATATTTTTGTTCTATAAATTACTCATTGTATGCACTGTTTGAAAAGATTTTTGAAAATTTGAAAATAAAAGATGAGAGAGAGAATTGTTGTATTTTTCTTCTTAATAAGAATACCAATTTAAAAAAAAAAGGTAGAAACCTCAATTTGACTCGTTACATGGACAGGGTGAAAAGATATTTGAAATTTTGAAAAATAAAGGAGAGGAGGAGAGACCAAAAATGTGGGATCATCTTACAAAGGCCTGGTCTAATGGGAATAATATGAACCTGCCACAGAGTCGAGCCTGCGAGGTTTCAAAAAGTGAATAAGTAAGCTGTTCCTTGTGACTTTTAGATGCACAGAGATTTATTAGGAATTTCTTGAAGATAAATAAAAAAAAAAGGTATCAGTTCTAACTTTGCCCTAAGTTCAGAATATAGATTTCAGGTATATCTACTTTTCTTATTCAATTCATATTTCCTTTTCGTTAATCAACACTTGAACTTCAACTAACATTTCATATCCCAGTTACGACATGGATTAACACCAAGATTAATAGAATTTCTCAATTATTCCCAAATTAAGTTGCATTGGCTAATCCATACATTATTCCTCACTCAAAAACCTAATTTTGTGTATTCATAAACATTTGCGTCAAAATAGATTTCAGTACAAAAAACATAAGATAAAATAAAAATCGCTGTTTGTCACCGTTCACGACAGCGATCATTAATCCGAGCTACTGTTCACAAAACTATTTCTCCTTTTTTCCAACATAATCCCGGCGTTCAAGAAAGAATCAAGAAAACAACGATCAAGGCTCCCATTAACAAACCAAATTTAAAAAATTCTTCCATTAACACATATTTCAAAATAAGCTGAAGATAACCATAAAACAAACAAATATAAATGGATTAAATTAATACCCAACAAAAATTTAAAAATATAATATACCCTAACAAAAATATTTAAAAACCCTATGAATAGTGAAGAAATTACCTCCCATTAATGGGTCTTCAATTGTTCTTCATTTCTTTACGCAATGTGAAGGGCTATTTTCCAATTTTTGAGAGAGTATGCGAATGGTTTAAGCAAGGAATTGCGAGAATAAATGTGCAAAAGTGGCGGTAAAGTAGGGACATTTTGGTCTTTTGCTCATAAATTCTAAATTTTTATTTAAAATAAAAATAATGAAATTCCATACTTTTAAGACTTCGAATGACTTATGGTACTCGTCACCTTGACCATAACTCATCGGTCCGCGCACCAAATTTCCTGGAAATATCCAAATTACACGTTTAATAGTATAGTTCGATTCAAATTTTAATTGTGAAGGTCCTTACCTCAATGAAGTTAACAAATTAAAATTATAATTTTCGAGCGACAATATTTTGTCAAATAACGTGTCAACGTCCACCTTTCATGATGTTACATTGATTTTTATTATCAACGAGTCTCTACAATAGTCATATGATAATACATAGAACGATGTGTACATTTAAAGTGCTAAAAATATAGAACTTTCATCCCCATCATCATAATTGTCATCGCAGGACCATCAGTGTAATTCTTTCTTCGAAATAATAAAATCGGAGTACTATAATGACATCGTTGCATATGGTCAACAATCGAGTCAAGCATCACACCACTTGATTCCCATAGCAATAATCTTGTGACGAGGACAACAAGAGTAATGTTATTCATTTCCAGTGGGGATGAAAACACAGTCTAAGTGACTGTAAATGATAGGTGAAATTAAATGACTTATTTCATTTCACCTATCATTTAATGCCACATTAGCGCCACCTAAACTGTATTTTCATCCCCAATGGGGATGAATAGCATTACTCGGACAACAATTACATTCGGTGCACATATCTACTTTATTTCATCCCACATTATCAAATTTATACAATTAGTAATACATAAATGTCACTATGTTCATGCAGAAACATTGATACATATTTTGTATGTAAGATTGGACAATGTTATCTAATCCATCCTATCAAATGAGTAGGAAACAACTGGAAAATAGTGAAAATGGGCAGCGAGCAAACCAATGAAAACTTGTTCTCTTCATTGATTGTTATACAAGAGTTAGCAAGCTTCTTTAAATCGGAATTAAGCCCACGAGTTTCCTTCTTCAATTGTTTTGCCTAGCTTTTAAGAAAACATAGTATTCCTAGAGAGAAAGGAGTACACATTTGTTGGTCCCAGAACGTAATAAACTAGCATATACAAAACATTAAAAAACTAAAAAATTGTAGAAAACCTTAAAAACACAAGAACACGAGAATTTTTTTGCCCTTTTGGTCCGTCCATAGAGCTAATAACCAGTTGAACATCTATCAAGAGATATCGCTCCAAATCCACTTATATCAACCAAGAAATCGTACGAAATGTATTAAGTAATTAGAAATTTCTTCATGTTCTTTCTAACCTCTCTATATACAAAATAGTAACCAAACACTCAGAAATCTCTCAAAAATTGTACTAAATCACCTCATTCTTACCAAAAGAACAGATATTACAATACAAAGACCAAAAGTTACAGATTTTCAGATAAACTCTAACCCACACAGAAAAAAAACCCTTTTTTTTTTTAATTTTTTTCAAAAATATCGCAGAAGATGAATGAAAAACCAAGTTTGTAATATCTATTCATATCAATCGGTTCAGATCCAAGGTCAGGATTCAGTCACGTGTAAGACATACTACAACCCACTCAAAGAGGTAGAAAAGTGTAACTGAAAATGCTTTTTAAGAACTAGACCTCAAAACCAGATTTTATGAATTAAGACAATCCAACAGGCCAAGTAAATAGTGAGACAGCTTACTAATTTAACATCATTTTATGGAGTTCACAACTTTTCAATCTTACATTACATTAACTTTTTCCAAAATTTACTAAAGCTTTTAACGAAAATTTTGTCAAACAACTCATCAGTGTTCAACATGCTAACCGAAGGGAAAAAGGTGGTGTCTTATTTCTTAATCAAATAACAGAAAAGAACAGGCTGTAGCTGACAACTATTCTTACAAAGAATATAATGAGAATAACATCAACAGCATCATAGCTCACAGCCAAAGCTGCCAGCGAAGCCCAAATCAGAGTCATCTTAACAACTTCAGTTCATCATTTCTTCCAAGAATCATCTTACAAATATATTGGGCAACTTTGGAGATTTTCGAGGCAAATTAGGTAAAGATTGATTCTTTGGATTATATGGGTAAAGGAGGAGGGTGTATGCCAAGTAAAAACAGGGCACCATTGGGTGCACCTGATCACGACGGACCGGCTCCAGTAAGTGACAGATCAATCTCAGTTGAAGGTGAAAACCCTAGTATTGAAACATCAGCCCCAATTCAGGATGGGGCAATTCTGCAGAAAGACACCAAGAAATTGAGAATATTCATAGTGTTTTATTCAATGTATGGACATATAGAGGGCCTGGCCAAGAGGATGAAGAAAGGAGTTGATGGGATTGAGGGTGTTGAAGGGATTTTGTATAGGGTTCCTGAGATTTTGGCACCGGAGGTTTTGGGGCAAATGAAGGTGCCCCCTAAAGGGGACGAGATTCCAGTGATATCGGTTGACAAGTTGGTCGAGGCCAATGGTTTTCTGTTCGGGTTTCCCACTAGGTACGGGTCCATGGCTGCACAAATGAAGGCCTTTTTTGATTCCACCGGGAATTTGTGGAGTGAGCAGAAACTCGCTGGAATCCCTGCAGGGTTCTTTGTCAGCACCGGAACACAAGGAGGCGGACAAGAAACCACTGCGTAAGTGTATTCTAATTATTCATAGAGAAAGAAGCAATTCATTCATATTGATCTGATTAATAGAGTTGGTTCTGGATGTATTGGCTTTATAATTTCCCAGTCAGCGAGTGAATTATTAATCATGTTAAGTTTTGCAGGTGGACAGCAATAACACAATTAGCCCATCATGGTATGATCTATGTTCCAATTGGATACACATTTGGCGCAGGGATGTTTAGAATGGATTCTATTAGAGGTGGTTCGCCTTACGGGGCCGGAGTTTTCTCAGGGGATGGCACGAGGCCACCAAGTGAAACCGAGCTTGCTCTTGCAGAGCACCAAGGAAAGTACATGGCTATGATCGTTAAGAGATTTTATCATTCTTCTGCCTGAGACTTTACTAGTAGCTTACCCTACTGGAAACCCCTGTCCGAGTGTCGTCTTTGTTTATTGTTCTTCATTCTTGTATTTTGTGTGTGAATATAATATAGATGGCTGATGCATCATTTCTCAGCTTATAGTTTGTCAAAAATCTGTATGATGATGATGATACACTTTTCTTCTATATAATAATCTATATAATAATTGTGTATTTTCAGCACTAGAAAAACAGAATATCTAAACCAAATATACGAATGAAAAGCAACGTCACTTAGAAATTCAAATGCAAATACAAAAATATAATAAAACGAAAAAAAAAAAATTGCATTCGACGACATCCCTTGAAGACACGAGTATTCTCCAGAAAACGAAATTTAGTTCAATCAATTTCTATTGCCATGAAAATGTATGGTCACATCCTCGCTATACTATTCTGGCAAAAAATTGGGTTCACCACCTCTAGACATTATTATGCACACAGTTATGGGGTCTCTCCATACTAACCCTGTCTGTCTTATCTATATCCTGATTTCAAGTGCAAACAGCTCGAGAATAATGTTACGTTTACATATGCAGTTACATAATGGTTTACACGTAGATGAGGTGTCAAGAAGAGAGTGGTGAAGTTTTTTTTATTTGGCTGAAAAAATTCTGACCAAATCATAATGTAAACAGCTCAAGAATAATGTTACTTGACAGCTTTACGGTTGTGCCTTCTCTGGAAGACAAGATAGTTCTTTTATCAGCAAAATGTAAGAGTCTCCTCAGTCTTAAAACCATGTCACAATAGAAAGGCAAAGCCGATCTTCTTTCCAAGTACGCTGGACTTACTGTCATCCATGATAATGTGTGAAGTTCTGCTGCTGCTATAGATTCAAGAATTATATGAGGTTCAACCTCGAACTCTTTGGCATCCGAGCTCAAACCCCTTCCTAACAGTTTGACAGCATCCGTTGGGTGCATTTTTTATGTTTGTTGTGTCAAAAATAAATGAAAAATTGTTAAGTGTCTTTCTGCTAGAATTCTGTCAAAAAAAAATTTTGTTTTACATTTTTTTTTTGTATTTGCACCAAAATTGATAAATAACTAGTGTGTGTGTGTGAGAGAGAGAGAGAGAGAGAGAGGTGGGCAGCGGAATTTTTTGCATGAATTGAGGAGGATTGGAACTTTGGATTGAAGGAACGGGTGAATTTTTTTTCACGGGTAAATTTTGTAAATAAAAGTTGAGTTGAGAAGGAAATATCCATATATTTATTTTTCTACATTTTATTTAGCTAATAAGTTTTGTATTGATAGTTTTTTTAGGAATGTGTAATTAAAAAGTTGAAAATAATTTTAGATTTATGTATAAAATTATTTTATTGGGAGAATATGTGGTTGAAAATGAATTTGAGATTTGTTGTTTTCAGTTTTGTAAAACACCCCAAACTTGTTTGGTATTTTCAAAAATAAAATAAAATTTATAACACAAAACTCAAAACTTATTTTTGATATTTTGAGTTTTTTCAATGAAAACTCTTAAAACGCTTCAAAGATTTTTTTTTAAAAAAAATAAGCGTTTAAATAAGATTTTATTTACATATATATATATAATCGTAAATGAAACGCTAATAGATAAAAAAAAGTCATCAAGATTAATCATAATGAAAAAGGAAATACAATCTCAATCAAAACAACACCGAACATCAAATACTCAAAAGATAAGAAAGAAAACACAACATAAGAAAGAACGACGATGCAATCACACATTGAAGAAACATTAATTAGCAATGGAAAGACGGGTCAATCTTGCAATTGACAGGGAGTTTTGTGGCGAGGTCAGGGTTAATTCCGAGGAACTTGATCCATGGGGAGCTCTTGAATGTACAAAGACATGGCAAGTTTGCCTTTGGATTGGAAAGAGCCATGCAGCAAGCGGCCGAAGGTGGCTGACCGGTTGGTCCAACCACCGCCGGCTTGCATGTCATTAAATCATCAGGGGTTATGCCACAAATGGGTTCTTCACCCTTTGCCATTGAGGGCTGGCTCCCAATGGCTGCAACTAGCACCATTGCAAAAATGGCAAGCTTAGTGTATGATAATTCCATCTTGGACTAGTAGTGTAGTACTATCTTTTTCTACTTGAAGGGTACTCTCTCCTTTTGTGCTCTATACTTTTTCATCCATCAGTCTTTATATAGAAGTTGTAGCACATGGGCTAGGTTATAAAAGTTAAATAGATTATTAATTTATTAGCATGTGAATGGTGCTCTTACCAAAAATGTTATAATTATTTTAAAGGATAAGATTTCTACACTTTTTTATGCAAGCCAATCTCGTATTGAACGTGCAATCCTCGACTCAAACTACTCATAAGTGAGGTACCACGAATACATTTAGCCCATTTTGAGTTTAAATAAGTATAATAATAGTTAGAAAGTGAAAATTTTAATTAAAAAATGCTGATCAAAATTCAGGACATTGCAAGGCGCAACGACTCGTCCTTCACGTGACCATCGATTACAAATTATACCCTTACACCATGTTGTTGTCACGTTGAAGATATATTTCCACTTCAACATCATTCAAGGATTGTTGAAGCTTATTCAAATAATAGAAGGCCCCACTTTGTTCATAAGAAATCAATATTATACTGAGAAACGAGATCACATAAGTGTTTAGTAACTTACACGTTTGCGATTAAACTAGTCAGAATCCACCAGCACTCTAAATTTTCGAAAGCTTCTTGATGTTGCCTTGTAAATTTTCAAAAGCTTCTAAGAAGTTGCTCAACAAGTTCCCTTCAATGCTTGAATCAATTAGATTTACGACTTTTTGAGGACTCTTCTTTATTTAGCTAATTGGTCACGCCTTATCCAATTCAAAATACTCCAATAATTTATGTGTCTATCATTCAATTAGAGGACAGCACGGACCACTAAAATTGTTTTGGTATGAAAATTATGAAAGCCTCGTGAGTGGTTGGTGAACTTGGCTTTACGTATCACGGGCAAGCTTTAGCCAACCAGTTGAAATTTTCAATCTTGTTTGATTGTTTGTTTGAAATTGTACTAATTTAGCCCTGTTCGGTAGGGAATAAAATTAGACTTTTAATAAATTTTGATAAAAGTTGACGAGATTTGTTGATGAAAAATTATGGATTCCATAAATTGTGTTGTTAAAATTAATTATTAAATTTGACTTAGATGAAAATTTGAATTTTATTTTTTTACCAAATAGGGGATTAGTAATAATTCGCAGTTCCTACAGTTTAAACACGTGAACCGGCTTGGGATTTCGTTGTGCTGTGTACTTTTAAAATGAATTGTTTGGTACAGATTCTATAAAACTTATTTTTCAAATATATATTCTTTCAATAAAATAATTTTTCACGTGGACTCATAATTATTTCATACTTTTTAATCACATATTTTTCAAAAATATCACTTTTTACAAAACCCATTCTTAAAAAATAAACACGCTCACTATAAGTTTATTAAGTCTCCGTTTCATAAAAATTAAAATTCAGTCAACAATTAACTTTAGAATCACATGTACAAGGAAAATTTAACAGAGTCAAAACATGGGGATAGGTGTCCCCCTGTAATTGGCATGAGTTGTGTTATGTGTACACAATCTTTTACACCTTCCTCACATGAAGATAGACCTACACACAATAAAATATATGTGGGCCCTCTCCATGTGAGGGGGTGTAAAAGATTGTGTACACCACAAGATGTACACATAGCATTATCCAATTGGTATAGGCAAAAAACAGTTTCTTGCCTTGAGCAATCACAAGGAGACACCAGTCCCCCTGTTTTGACCCTGTTGAATTTTTCGTGTATGTACGACATTTTCCTTAATTTTTTTAATACATATTTTATATGATTCACAACTTTTCATCAGCTTTTATCAAAATCTAATAAAAATTTGATTCTAATCCCCACCAAACGGGGACTAAGTTTCTTTTTATTTGTTTTCTTTTTCTTTGTGCTCGTTTTATCTTTAACATAATTATTTAACTACAAAACTAAAGAGAAACTAACGGTCAAGTTTAAAGGGCTAAGAAAATCGAAATTAAGAATTTTAATACCTAAAAAAAAATTGGGTGAAAAACTTGCTCTATAAGTTTGCATCTAGCAACATTATGTGCGCATAGTTTTGAGCAACATTACTTCTGAAAAGTGAAAATAGAGTACTTGCCTAAAAACTTGCTCAAAAAAACAGAGCAAGTTCTGGTTCTAGAAATAGTACATTACATTACATCACGAAAATCTTGTTCGATCATAATAAGTGAGCATCATTCACAAAGACAAAATGGGCGATGGCCGAATATGAAAATAAGTGGCCGAAGCCATATATGCGCAGACTAGAGAGACATAAATTTTGAACCAGATGGATGAGAAAAAGGTGAGAAATGTACATGTTCCAGTCAAGATCATTACAAGAACAATGTTCACTACACACTTCATGGTAAACAAGCCTCCTTCTATTCCTTCGTGAGGGAAATGGCCTTTCGAATAAAATTCTGATAGCATTTGATCTTTGAGGCTGAATGTATCCATCAACCAAGAAGCTACCTGATCTTCTGATGTCGGCATGTCACTAAGGGGAACACGCCGAACGTGGATGTGAACTTCAGAGGGGTCAACTCCAAAGGCATTATCCAAGAAAGTTGGGCAACGGTGTCGGTATCCAATTGTGATGTCATAAACTGCAAAGTTTGATTAAGTGATTGCTATCAATATTAAATACAATTTTATCTCTAAATAGATAAGTATACAAATCCAAGGCTAAAGATTAATTTTAACTAGCAAAACCTTAAATGCAGTCCAACTCTAAGAGACATTTTTTATTTAAGTATATCACTGAGCTGGGCTTGTCTGTGCAAGACCTTGGGGTCCTGGACCAGCCCAACCCATTTTTACACCTCTACCACAGGACTTGAAAACGTCCTTCTCTATTTTTAGCAATGCGGTGCTTCCAGCTTTTTGCTTGGAACCATAACTCATAATCTAACAAATGGTACAACACTAAAAGATAAAGCCATCAGGAAATATTTTCCAAAAAACCCACAAATCTCAAATTTCTCTTGAGCTTCATCTGGAGATTCTGGACTCTGAACTAATTAAAAAGGGTCCGCAACTCTGTCCTTTACCCTCGTCACTTTTCCTAGATATCTTTTCGTACCTATTTTCTTTGCAAGAATCTAGCAACTAAGCGCAGTTTTGTTCTCAACTATCTACAGTCTACAGAAGCATTTCTAGTTTTATCAAATCAACGAATCCTCAGCTCCCGCGAGTGTTCTATGATTTTCTTTGTTAATTTTATCTTTATGGGGACTAGAAGTTGAAATCTTTGTTTCTCAATCTCCAAAAATCATCAAGTTGGTATCAAGTCAACGAATGGATGATTTCATGTAGGTAATGTCATCATTATTAAAAACAGGAACTTCATGATTACGTGGTAAAGAAACTTCATTTTACGTTATTCACAGATTTGACTTGTGTATTAGCATATATATTATACCAGTATTGTGACTTCCTATATCAACCCATAACTACAGAAGGTAAGCACAAAAATACATGTTCTAATCGACTTGATCTTTCTGGCTTGATAGAAGTCTTATGTAAAGAAACAATTAATCAAGGAAGTTTTTTTGGTTGGGGACTTGGGTTTACCAATTGATAAGTTATGTCCCTACGGAGATAGGACTATTTATTACGAAATCAGAAAAATGAAGGAGCAAAGTGCGTTTAACTTGTCCTATGTTTGAGCCCCATTCTTTAAAAGCTCTTTTTTTTTTCTCAAACTCATTTTTAATCACATTCTTCCAATAAAATAATTTTATATGTAAACCAAAATTTTCCTTACTTTTTAACCTTACATTCTCCAAAAAAATTACTATTACAAAATCTATTTTTCCAAAAATTGGGCTTAAACAATTTATACATATAACAAACACATGCTAGTTTGCATGAACATCATCTTCGTAGAAATGACAAGTAAAAATTAACCAAGTGGAAAGAAAACCAGTGGCTATGTAATGGCAGAATAGAATAGATAGTACAAATAATACAGCCCACAAAGAGTAGATGGAACATTATAAAAGAAAACACAAATTGTACTGTCATGCAGGAATAACATGAATCCAGCATCAAAATTAAGAAGCTGAAGTTACAAGCACCTATCTATAAAGATGAAATGATAGTAGCAAAAATAGCCTATGAATTTCTAAGGAAACATGTAATATTAGAGTCAACGCTGCAATTCAAAATTTTTAACATTTGCAAAGAAGAGAGAGAAAAACCTGCATCCAAGGAGCCCTTTAAACTCTCCAAACATGCATAAAACCCCTTTGTCTTTGGAAGCAGCACATTCTTCAGAACAGGGAGTCCATGCTCAGAAGCATACTTTTGACTACGTATGCACTTTTGTTCCCTGCATGAGTGAAAGTAAATGAAAGAGAAAACAGGATAAATTTATCAACAGGTGTGTGATGCAGAAGTCCCTCTCTCAATTAGGCTGTCTAGCCTTGCAATCCCAAACACAAATACTCGAGATGGGACAGAAAAGGAAATACAAACATCCATCTACTAAATCTAGGAGAAAAAGGTAAAAAAATAATACGTGAAATCTGTGCCTTCTGGGAAAACAGCAAGCCAAAGAGGATCCTGAGGATCATTGAAGGTTAACAGCATCTGGCGCATGGTTGATTCATCGGCCTCCCATTTCCTCTCTACGGGAATGAACTCCATTATATGAAAAACCCAACCAAATACTGGTAATTTCATCAAACTGCTCTTAAGGATATACTTTATGTAACCCTCACGCCCCTTTCGCAGGGCAAGATCCCATAAGTACATCCAGTCTACCTCAGTTCTATGGTTTGCAATAAGCAAAACGCGTTCTTTAGCTGGAACACTGTCTCCTGAGAAGACCACTTTAGTCTTGTTGATTATCTCGAATAGGAAAGGCCACAAGGCTATCCAAATTCCAAAAAAGAACGCTGTTGCGGTCCTGCTGTAGCGTACGCTGAAAAACCTCAAGACAACTGCAGTCCAAAAGCCAAAATACACCAACAATATAAATGCCGTTAAAACTAGCACAATCAAACAAAGAACACCCCTCAGTACTCTAGGTGGAGTTAGAGGATGGTGCCTTGGTTTATTTTTTGAATCAACTCCGCTAGATTCCATGAGTTATCAAAACTGACAGAACTAGCAGTCCCTTTAATTGGGTATTTAGAACAAAGCTCTATTATCACAATTTTTCTACTGTAGAGGCAATGTGCACTGGCTGAACATGGAATCTGCCAGAAGGATAGAATTACAAAATTGGGACCGTCTGCAATTGAAGAACACAACGACCTGTCAATTAGTAATAAAGAATTTTAGAAATTAAGAACTTTTAACACTTAGCAGAACAATGAAGAAAGCATCATGACTCAGCCTAATTCTTAAACAGAAAAATCGGTAAAAATAAGTTGAAAATGAACTTCAACTATACTGTATAAGAGAAAAGTACAATTATTGTGCTTCCAAATGCCAAAAATTAAATTAATGGCTTGCAAAAATATGCATTCAACAGCGAGAGCGTCATCTATTGGCAGTGAGGATAAATTGAACAAGATTGAAATCGCAAAGCAGCTTAAAAAAAGTTAATAAATAAACCCAAATCGGAGTATACCAAGTACGGGAACTTCAATTTCACTGTTACGATCTAGCAAATCTCAAAATCAAATCCCAAGAAAATAAAAGAAAAACAAATGACGCTTAAAATAGGGAATCGTGAACCTTGTTTATGTGTACGAGTGCGTATATATCAAATGGGGAGAAGAATATTCATACGGATTCAAGAAAGAGAGAGATACGTGCCTTCGAGGAACCGGCAACTGGGACTGGGAGGTCTCTCTTTTTCCTTTTTCCACTGTTTTAGAGATAGTAATAAGGGTTTTGAGAATGGATTAGGTGTGTAAATAAGTGTGTACATAATGTGTGAGTGTGGTACAGTCCACGCTCACCTCCACTCACATTATGTACACGTTTATGTACACGTCTATGTACCAATAACATTGCTCTTTGAGAATTTGGATAGAGTTTAAACGGTCAAACGGAGGCGTTTAAAAACTTTTGACATTTGGCCTCATAATAAACGATTAAAATTAATGATTGACTTGAATTAAAATAAAGCCAAATAGGAATTTAATATTTCATGATTTAATTGACAAGAAATTAGAAAAAGAACAAGACGATGTGCTATGGAGCATACTCCTCTCTCCATATAACACGACAATCGACAACAATTAGATGCATTTCTTATATAATCTTAGAGTATATAAATAACAATCATGTTACATGTACATCATGTTTTATATCAAGTTTGACATCATGTGAATTGATAATTTTTATATATTGATTTTAACAACATTTTTTCCAATCAATTGTCATATTTTCTACATATATGGGAATGTCCAAAATGTCGTTAACCACAAGTATACAAGAAGCATAATTCTATAAATAATACCATCTTATGCAAGTATTGTAAATGTGCGGGTTATTTTGGGCTTAGCAGTCTAAACAGGGGAATAAGGTTGCCTCAGGCGCAAACCTTGAGAGCCGCATGGTAGGCCAATCCGTGATAAATAATATGAAGTTACAGATAATTTAGCTCCTGTTTGAGCGAGATTACTTTTTTCATTTTTATTTTTCTATTCATTTTCAATCACACATTTTTCAATAAAATAATATTTTTCATCACATCAATAACTTTTCTTTTTTTTTCACATCAACAAAAAAAATACATTCTTGACCTCAAAATGTGTACCAAACAGGGGGCTTAACTTAGTTATATAGTTTTATTTTTTAAAAAATAAATTATTGGAGATGTAATTTTGTCTTGCTTAAAGTGTATTAAAAACTAAATCTATGTTCGAGTATTATTTTAATTTATTAAAAGGTTATAACCGTAAATTTCTTATCCTCGTGTTCTAGAAGGCTCCCTTCTCGAAGATTTATGACATGTCAAAATTTGATAAAATTATTTACTTTGTATTAAATTAAATCACGTGCTCTACAATTTGTACAGACCTTTTTATACCTTTGACTTTCATTCTGGTGACTTAAAACTTCGCATAAATTAAAATCGAATTAAAATTGAAAAATTAATCGTTATTGTTGACTTTTATTAGACGAGTGGGATCCAATAACGACTATATTTTCAATTTTAATTGAATTTTAATCTTTATCAAACGAGCACCAAGTAAGTTTGTTATAAGTAATTTGAACACATAATAATTTATTGATTAAAATTGAGAAATTATTACTTTTTTTCTATTTATAAATAAAAAAATACTATCATAAAATAACTTTTTTAAACATATCTGGGAACGTGAGATTCAGCCGCCACTAACCATATTTTTGGATAAACTAACCGTCGCGTCTGTTACTACCCAAGTCTTGTTTCGCAGCACATAATTATCACTCGAAAATCCGGAGTGAAATTATTCTGAGAATTTTCTCTTCACTTTCAGACAAAATTAAAGATTTTGAATATTGCCCATAGGCATTCAGTAATTCTATCTAAAACCCAGATTCATAATATCAAGAATGTCTTCAAATTCAAAACCCACAATTCTCTTATCTCCGCTTCACGGAGTCACAAAAATGGCAGCACATTCACAATCTCTTGTAAGCTCAAAACCTCTAAGAGCGATGTTAATCGGAAGAGCAAGAACAAAAGTTCACAAACCAAGATTGTTGTGCCTGAGCTGGATGGAGCGCCGTCGCTTTCTGAGGCGGAGGAGGGGGAAAGTGGCGGGGATAGTGGTGCCCCAGTGAAGTCGCCGCCGCTGTCCAGTAAGAAAAATGGTTTGGGCCTGTTGAACCGTCGAAGGGATTGTCCAAAAGGGTTTTGGCAGTTCTTTCTAATTTGCCTCTGGCTATTTCTGAGATGTTTGTTGTTGCTGCCTTAATGGCCTTAGGTAGTACATTCCAATCCTCTGTTTAAATTAAGAATAGATTTTCAAATCACTGCTTAATTTCTTGTTTCCATTTTATCATTTTTCTGATGGGGTGCCATTAATTGTGTTGTGTGAAAATTGATTAAGAGTAAAAACGGAACGAGTATGACATTGAACGTCGGTGTAAAATATTTTACCCGAGCACTTGACCATTGTTCTATCTTAGCACCAGTTAATGTTGTGATGGTGAATAAGGTACAAGAGAGATTATATTTGGAGCATGTTTGGGCGTGCTTAAAAGCACCTTTCCAAGTAGTGCAACTGTGAACGAACTTTTATAATGTTTCTCGTGTAGCCCCTTTTGAAGTTGATAGGTTTAAAAAAATGAAAACCTAAAAGCACAAAGGTTGTTAATTTGGACCGAATCCGAAATTATATCTGAACTTTATTTGCTGGCATACAGAGGACGGACTAATGGCCTGTTTTGTACTGATAGACAGGCATCTTCTAAATTGTGATTAAAACCGGAATCAATTAAAATGATTTATAACGATAAAATCAGTGAGGAAAGTCTGTCGTTTTTTCAACTATTGATGATGCATTGAATAACCTTACTCAGTTTAGACCAGCTTGTATTGTTATCCTTTAACGAAATAGTAAACGAAAAACTAGGCATCCCTGCATGGTGTAATGCATCTTCAGATTAGACCAGCTTTTATTGTTGTCCTCTAATGAAATAAGAAGAGAAAATTTAGTCATCCTTTCATGGTTTAGTGCATTTGGCTTTATTATTGAACAGATAAACGATTGGTGACATTGTTGCCTTGATGCTGATAATTAGCCATGTGGTATAGAAGGAGATATTATGTCTTGTTACTTCAGTCTGCTTTGGCAATAATGCAAGTTCTTTTTTACGTGTTTCATTTGGATATGTATAATGGCATCATTTGTTTTGAGTCTTTGCAGGCACCATCGTAGATCAAGGTGAGGCGCCAGATTTCTATTTTCAGAAATACCCCGAAGATAATCCTGCCCTTGGATTCTTCACATGGAGGTGGGTTCTCACTCTCGGGTTTGACAGCATGTTCTCATCTCCAGTATTCCTGGGAACGTTGGCTCTTTTGGGAGCATCACTGATGGCTTGCACATACACAACACAGATTCCTGTACTCAAGGTAGCAAAAAGGTCTGGTTTTGTGTCCAATAAACAATGTCCTTTGACTCTTTAATGCCCTTGAAGACACTTTACTATATAGTATGTATCCCTGTTTGCAGATGGTCCTTCTTATGTAAAGCACATGCAGCATATTCCTAAATAGTTTTCCTAGTAGAAGCACTTTTTTTCTGAGCCTTGATATGTTTAAGGAATTTTGTTTTCTAAGTGGAGTTCCAATGTATCCTGTTTATGCTCCGATACTGCATAGAAAATAAGAATTTGGATAGCTCGAGATATTTTAGAATGCAATTACTTAAGATATCAAATTAATCAAAGAAATAGATGGTGTAGTATTTTTTTGGTTATCTCACATTTGGAATCTGTATCTATATTTCTATTACTTATTCGAGACATTGCTCGTCATAAATCTCCTATCACTTTCTTATGTGTTGCAAAATCATGACTATTTGATATTTCCCCATTGTATGATTAGGTATTCTTGAAAGGGCCATCACTGTACGCCTTCAGGGGGTTGGCTGGTAGGTTTGCCCCTATTGGAGTACATTTAGCACTCCTGCTTGTAATGACTGGTGGAACTCTCAGTGCTACTGGGAGCTTTAAAGGGTCGGTAACGGTGCCACAGGGTTTGAACTTTGTTACTGGAGATGTACTGGGGCCCGGTGGGTTTCTATCGACTCCTTCAGAAGCTTTTAATACTGAGGTTCACGTCAATAGATCCTACATGGGTTACTATGACAGTGGAGAGGTAGGCATCTACAGTTGCACCAATGACTTATCGACATGTTCGTTTCTGAAGAGTTCGTCTGTCTTATATTGTATCTTTTGGTTGTGTAATAGGTTTCTCAGTTTCATAGCAATCTTTCTCTGTTTGACCTTAATGGGAAGGAGGCAATGAGGAAGACAATAAGCGTCAATGATCCTTTGAGGTAGAGTGGGATCACTATATACCAGACGGATTGGAGTTTGTCGGCATTACAAATAATGAAGGATGATGAAGGACCTTTTAATTTGGCTGTGGCTCCTCTAAAAATCAACGGGGACAAGAAGCTCTATGGAAAATTTCTGCCCGTTGGAAATGCTGATTCTCCTGATGTTAGGGGAATGTAGGCGTCTTTGCTTGTCTTGGTTATAAATTAAAATCTTATCTGAAGTAGAGAAATGAGAAGTTCCAGTTGAATGCTAGTCAATCTAATAGTATGAGATTCATCTGATGCAAATATCTCTAATAGTTTAACACCTTTACTTTTCTGTTCTTTTTCTGATTGAGAATTCAGATCAATGCTAGCCCGTGACTTGCAATCAATTGTCCTATATGATCAAGAAGGAAAATTTGCAGGAGTCCGACGGCCAAATTCAAAGCTTCCGATTGACATCGATGGTTTTAAAATTGTTGTTATAGATGCAATTGGTAGTACTGGCCTTGATTTAAAGGTGATGATGAAAGAATTTCGTTTTCCGTCATGAGAAATAAAATATAGAATTTTACTATGATGCAAATCTTTCCTCTTTATTCCTGACGATAAATTTTGCGCCTACTCAGACTGATCCTGGCGTGCCAATTGTTTACGCTGGTTTTGGTGCTCTAATGCTCACCACACGTATCAGTTTCTTATCACATAGCCAGGTAAAGTTTCACCCTGACATTGATCCCATTAACATAGGACTCTGGTTTTAAATGTTATCATCCTAGAAACCTTGATTGTCGCTTAATCTTTCAACTTTTTACGCATTTAAAGATTTGGGCATTACAAGATGGAACGACGGTGGTGATTGGAGGTAAAACAAACCAAGCCAAGGGTGAATTTCCGGAAGAGATGAATTGGTTGCTCAATCAGGTCCCTGAAATAGTAGAATCAACTTCTTCTACGCAATCTAACAATCTTAACAGCTAGTTCCGAGGAGCTGCATTTTTAGAAGGGAGCATTATGAAAAGTTGACTCGTATTCTCTAGTTTGAAGTTGAAAGAAATCAGCGTTTTCGCGTTTATTAGCTGGAGGAGACATTCGACTATCAAGGTAATAGCGTCAATGATATGCACTTTGCTTTTCTGCCTGGCCTCCTCTTTCAACCTGATTTATCAAGGAAGTTCCTCAAGATCCAGATTGGAATTACTTGACGTTGATTGCAAGTGCTGTAATGTTGTGCAGAATACAGGTACATACATATTATGTGTTGATGCCAAGAACGTGATAAGGTAAAAACACATTGTGAAGATGAACTCTGTTAATCTCGGATACAGTCATTCTTGACATGATTCGAATAATGCAGTGGGGAATTTCTCAAGTCAAATATATAATCGTAGTTTTGAGGATGCTGAGAAAAAAATGATGCGACAATGTATAGTTTTTCCAAGTAAAGTTCTGTAACTTCTAATTTTCTTGAGAAAAACTGCCAAAATAATGTTACTTGTACATAATATAAAATTACATAATGATTTACATACAAATGAGATGTCAAACAGAGAGTAGATGAATTTTTTTTTAATTGAAAAAATTCTGTTAATCTCGGATACAGCCATTCTTGACATAACTCGAATAATGCAGCGGGTAATTTCTCAAGTCCTATATATAATTGTAGTTTTGAGGATGCTGCGAAAAAAAATGATGCTAAAGTGTATAGTTTTTCCGAGTAAAGTTCTATAACTTCTGATTTTCTTGAGAAAAATTGTCAAAATAATGCTACTTGTACATAATATAAAGTTACATAATGGTTTACATGCAGATGCGATGCCAAAAAGAGAGTGAACGGGTTTTTTTTTATTTGATTGAAAAAATTATGAGCTAATCATATTTCACCACATTATATGTATGTAAATCATTATGTACATGTAGCACAATCGTTTTCAAGATTTTGTATCTGATATGTGTATTTTTCAAATTCTACACGATCAATTTTATAATTTGTTTTGACCCAAAACAAGATTGTGAATTGTTCGTTGTACAATCCATGCAAATAAACAAAAATTAAATTGAAAATCTGCACATGACAAGGAAATCTCCACTTTGTTGCGACTCACAATGTTTTATTTCGAAACAACTGGCTTTTGCTGGCTGCTAAGAGTTGTCGAGGGTTTGTTTGCTTCTTTAGTCAAATAAATTCGTTATTAGAGTTGATAACCTTTTAAATTTTAAAAGAAGTTTTATAATGATTGTGCATTAAAGTAGTTGCATATGGTCAACTTTGAGCTACAATAAGTAAAATTTCTTTTGTGAGTAAATAGTTCTATTTCAAGCATGTTTGCCCCCCAAGCGACGTGATAGACCACGTTACGGTCGATGTGATACTAGCCAAAGGGCAAAAAGGGGATTCCCTTGTGGCTTGCGATCTCTAAAAAGTTGGAATGAAAAAGAAATTTTGAAAGCATAATTTGCTTATAATTTGATCAAATTATGTTTTTATTCACGTATTTCATAGGATTTAAATCTTTTATCTACTTTTTTACTACACATTCTTCGGGATCCACTGCTTATAATCAATGATAAGCTATGATAGAGAAATTAAAGTGTCAAAATTTGAATATTTAAAAAGATGTTTTTTTATTTTTTATTTTTTGCAAGCATTTATTATGTGGAAAAACTTGACCTCTTGCCTAGTTTTTATTTTATTTTATTTTATTTTGAAAAAAAGAATTATGAGTAGGTATGGTAAGCATTTTTTTGTGGAAAAATTTGCCCTCTTGTGCCTAAGTATTTGACAAGCCGACAATGGGAGTGACATATCTGTGCAATTGTTTATTTCCTCGAAATATATAAATACAATTTAACAACAAAGTGGAGTAGGTGTGCATAAAGTCAAACGATGACTTTTTGCAGTTTCACCAAACTCTTTGATATTGCTTTCCCACGAAACAAAAGTTCGATACGATACGCCATTTATTTAAAAATCATATGCAGTTAATCTCAAGTTCAAGTTCACGTTCACTGGGGTCGTTTGACAAAATTTTTGATAAAAGTTCTGAGAGATTTGATTCAAATTGATGAAATATATATTCAAAAATTGTTTGTCCATCAAATGTGTAATTAAAATTAATTATTGACTTTGATATCAACTTTTTATTAATTTTTTAAAGCTTTTTCAAATGAGCACTAACTCCATGTTTGATTTTAATTAAAAAATTAAATCAAATTTAAGAATTAATTTTAATCACGCGTTTTATGAAGCTCACAACTTTTATCAACTGTTCGACTGCACATTTTGTTAATTTTTATTAAAAATATTTTTTTTAATAGATCAAAAGGGGCTAAGTCAAAGTACAGTGACACAAATTTTGTAATATGGACAAGGGATATGCAGATATATCGGATTGTCCAAAATTTATATAATTCGAGTGGAACTCGTTGTAAGTTCGGAATTAACTTCGCTTGAGCCTTTATTTTTCTTTATTAATGTAAGTCGGATCAACATAATCCATTAAAATCTTAAGTTCGTGTGGGTGAAATGACTCGTTTTACTCCTCTCGAGTAAGCTGAATACAATTCCGCGGTAATTAACTTCTCTTTTACACAAATAATGCAAAGAAATATACTCTTTTTTTCTTCTCCTGTAGTATGACTTTTTAAATGTTAGATTAGTTGACGGGTTTCATTTCATTAGTGTTGATTGGCCATCACATTAAGTCTTTGTTTGATGAAAATTAAAATAAGATTTTTAATCGATCTTGATAAAATTTATTGAAATGTGTGATTGAAAGGTTATGAATTTCTTAAAATATATGATTAAGATGAATTTTTGACTTTAATTTTAATAAAAGTTTAGAATATAAATTCTACTGGAATTTCTCCATTTTTGACAATCTTGAATCATTTTCAACTCTAGTGTTGAAAATCACTTTCAGCACCTGTACTTTAATAAAGTACTGGGGACCCAAAGGCATATATATGTCACCAAATTCTACACAAACTACTTGCTGTAGGACAGATGCTAAAGTGGGGCCTGAGTTTTTTGAGAGTCGTAACCGGAAGGGATTCTGCTTTGAAATATGAATAAAACCCAGATGAAGGAATTCAAAGAAACCCAACAATTGTTACCTAAAATGGAGCCAAAGCCTTTAGAGGTTGAAACCCATGAAGCTCAATTTTCCAGTAAAAATGGGAAAAATCTTGCAGAAAAAACATGGAAAGAATCGAAGAAGCTGTGGGAAATCGCTGCTCCGGCTATACTCACTGCGGTTGCGCAATTCTCTATTGGATTTGTTACCATTGCCTTTGTTGGGCACCTGGGAGAGGTTGAATTAGCTGCTGTTTCTATTGTACAGAATGTGCTAGAAGGATTCGTATACGGCGTAATGGTATGTAAAATGTGTGTATATAGCTTGAAATGATTGTTCTTCAGATATTGTTGGGTAGTGACGAATGGAATACAATTTTCGTACCTGCTGGATCTGCATTTCACAGTTAAATTGTGTTCCTGCATGTAATGGGAACTGATATTATTCTTTTCTTATTACAAATTCTGCATGATGTGATTATTTGATTATGTAAGATCAAGTTGACAAAATAAGTAACTTAGAAGTAAATTTCGAGTGCCTCGAAGCACAACAGCAAATTTGGATGGATCAAAATCAACTGGATAATTGGATATTGACTTGTTCTTGGTTGCTGTTTAGTTTGCTGTGCTCTTCTTAATATTAGTGCTCTAAATGTAAAATTGACTCTTCTTTTTACTGGTAAAAGTTTTCCATCTCGAAGTTTTTCTGATCGAATATTACTAACCTTGGATAGTAAAGAAGATCTCTGATTACAATTATATTTTTGATAGTAGAACATTGACTTAAAAAAAATTTAAAGTGTTTGATAGGATGTCGGTTTAGGAAATTTTAATTTGGTTATGATGGCTTGTAAGTATGAAATTTTACTTGAACGCGAATTGATTTTTCAATATTGTCCTAATTTCTTGTATTAGCTAGGCATGGGAAGTGCTCTAGAAACACTATGTGGCCAGGCAGTTGGTGCTGGACAGTATGAGATGCTTGGAATCTACATGCAAAGATCGTGCATTATAACCCTAGTCACAACCTTGTTTTTAACTCCTCTTTACATCTTTGCGTCTCCAATACTTAAGCTCCTTCATCAAAGTAAAAATATTTCTGAGCTCGCCGGGAAGTATGCTATTTGGGTCATTCCTCAGTTGTATGCTTATGCATTGAACTTTCCAGTGCAAAAATTTCTCCAATCACAAAGCAAGATATGGGTTATGACTATAATATCTGTCGTGGTTTTGGCATTTCATGTTCTTTTGAATTGGATACTTGTGACAAAGCTTGGGAAAGGCTTGCTTGGTGCCGCCATAGCAGAGAACATATCATGGTGGCTAGTGGTTTTAGCTCAGATAGTTTATGTGGTGTCGGGTTTTTTCCCTGAATCATGGACTGGATTTTCCTTATCAGCATTCAAATCCCTTGCTGGTTTTGTTAAGTTGTCACTTGCATCAGCTATCATGCTGTGGTAAGTATTTCATTATAGTATTGTGGTAAAATTAATTACTCAAAATGATATAATCCTACAATCATATCAAATCTGACATGGCAGCTTAGAGCTATGGTATTTTACTGTGGTGATCCTTATGGTTGGTTTGTTAAAGAATCCAGAAGTTGCAGTAGATGCCGTATCAATTTGGTCAGTTCTTTAACCATCTATTGATATTGCACTCTTAGTTTATACTTGTGGGTTTACATAGGTCCCATAAAATTTTTAAGATATTTTTCCCCACTTTCTCTATTTTATTAGTTACTTTTCGTGATTGATATGACAGTATGAATCTGGAAATTTGGACGTTGATGATTACTCTAGGTTTCAATGCTGCAATCAGGTAAGATATCGTCCTCCTACCTCAAAAGGTTGAATAAATTAGTTTTGTGTGTAGATTAATCAACAGTTTGAGGTTTGATGAATCTCTTGGGTATTAAAAAGCAGCTTATATATACCTGGTGCTAAAAATTTTGAAATTTTCAATAAGATTTGTGTCATTCAAGGAAGAGTTGGTAGTTCCTTGAGTACTTATAATAATATTCTCAATAATGTGCAGCGTACGTGTTTCTAATGAACTTGGAGCTAATCATCCTAAAACTGCGAAGTTTTCCGTGGTAGTGGCTGTGGTCACATCAACATTATTTGGAATTTTCTTTACTGTTGCAATTCTGGCAACGAGAAGCTATTTTCCCAAAATATTTTCTGACAAACCGGAGGTCATAAAAGAGACATCCCGCTTGGGATATTTCCTGGCAGCAACCATCTTACTCAATAGCATTCAACCTGTACTCCATGGTAAATCTTGTTACATTTATTTCAAAATATTTAATTAGGTACTTTTTTGTTTGTGTGTGTGTACGCAAGCACATTATACTTAGGGTAACAGAGTCATAGAGTATTGGTATGTTCTTTATGGAGTAAAGTAAATTAACAGAAGGTTTCTTCCCCGACTTGCAGGGGTGGCAATTGGCGCAGGGTGGCAATTTTCAGTTGCATTGATAAACATTGTGTGCTACTATGTGTTTGGCCTTCCTTTAGGTGCCTTGCTTGGTTACAAATTTAATCTTGGTGTGCAAGGAATCTGGTCGGGGATGTTAGCTGGTTGCCTTCTACAAACTGTTGTTTTGATTATGCAAGTATTGCGGGCTAATTGGACTAAAGAGGTTTGCTTATTATAGCTATTTCAGTTGTTATACTTCGTGAATTAACTAAATATTCAGGACAAGGATTCAAACGAATCTGCATTTGGTCTTACCAAGTGTATTGGTCTTGAAAATTAATTCATCAAGAAATCCAAGCTCGGTTCAACTTACTCTTGCTAAATTGTTTCCCTAACACTATATGCAAATCTTGTTTGACGCAGGCTTTGCAGGCTGAGGAGCGCGTCAAAACATATGCTACCTCTCCTTTACCCCAAAACGAGGATCAGTAATTGAATAATCACATAAAAATTGGAAGGAACATATGAAATTGTTTCCACTGATATCAACAAAAGATGAAACATCTAACATCAATGTTTGTGGTGCAGACTTCAGACTTCAGCAAAATCTCAATGGATATTTGAAACAGTGATCTAATGTTGGGATAAAAAGGAATAGGATGCTTTTACTTGAGAAATAAATTTATACTTTACAATTTTTCTCCTAACCTGGAGGATTTTGAGGGATAATCTTGTATTTGAGAGAGATAATAGCTAGAGAAGAATACTGGAATTTTATACATGGTCATCAGTTTTCTATTCTGTTCTCAATCTTCTTCACTTAGTATTGAACTGAAGGCACTGGTTGATTTCCTACTAATTATTTTAATCTTTGGTTCAAGAAAATCCTGTGGATTGATGGATTTTTGAACTAGGGTGCCACTGACTTGTTTATTTCCAAGAATTGTGTGACACTTAGTTAAGTCAGCCTTAAAGTCAACAGCAATTGTTCGATCTGCTATCTCCTTGTTATGTCATGTTCAATTTGGGACTGTTATACAAGTAAAGTGAACAATTGTATGAGAAAAATGACCAAGTTTCAGCATTTTAGCAGTTGGCATGCTAGTAGTATGTTCAGGTTTAGGTTCAGGATGGCAAAAAGAGTGCCTTTTTTGTGAGTCTCCTAATACGAAGAGCGTCGTGTACTATTCCCAAAGCTGGGGAACGCTGGGGCTCGATTTCCTCACATTTTCTTTGATTCCACCCAGGTTTTTTCTCTGAGGTTGTTCTCAGATCTGCAGTGTCACATGCAATGATACTGTGAGTTCCTTGTCTTGTCTTTCTGGTTCAGTTACTTATTGTGGTTGGTACGAAAGGTATGAATTTAGAACCAATGATTATTCTTGGTTTCCAATGCTGCATTCTCTGGTAAGAATGTTGGATGGTCAGCATAACTAGTTATATTATTTGTGTTTGTGTTATTTTATATTGCAAAAAGGGTAGAATCGTAGTTTTACTTATTCGATCAGGATAATTTAGTCATTTTGCTTATTAGACTATCGATGCCTCACTTTTATACAATTAGCTTATTTGGTTGTATGAAACTAGCCCATTTTACTCTCGTCTTCCACCTTGCTTACATTCACAAAATTAACACGATATCAGAGTTTCAATCCATACGAATACTTTGTTTCATGGCGTGAAGGAAGAAGTATTGATATTTTACGCGTTTGACTAATCAATAGTTTTCACTTCATTACTTAGCTTATACATTATATTGTTATTGAGAAATCTTCAAAAG